TTATGCCGCCATACATTATCAAAGCTTCTGGTAAGGCTAAGAGCCATTTTAAAGAAAGTATTCGATTACAGTTTTAGTTAACTGTAACGTATCATAATAATAACATATTGTTAAATTACTACTAATATCACTAATACTAGATTTTCTGTTAACATACGTCTGTTAGCTTACAAATAGGTATACTATATAGTATATATATATATATATATATTTTATTTTACTTATTTTTTAGTTTATTTTTTGCAGTTGGTTTACCCGAGTATCAACACCAGTGCTGTTTGAAAGACAATATAAAGACAGTACATACGGACATTTAAGTACAAAAGTAATACCAGGGGTACACTTAAAATAAAAACTATATTAGGCTACCGACCTGTTCGTTTTGCACCCTAAGAATTTACGATGGTAGTAGTTGCATGGCCTCAAACGATAGCTTCTTGTCTTGTAAAGACAAATTATATTGTAGCCTAGTTTGTACGTATAGAAAGGCTTACGTAGACACCAAAATAATCAATAATGTGTTTATCTTTATAAAGATTGTTAAATGTTTTATTTACTTGACTACCTTTAAGTATTGCATAAAAACAATTTAAAATTAATTAATAACACAATGGATAACATGTTTAATCGCCATATTATATTTAATTGAAAATTAAAATAATTCTTGTTCTGAGGATGCAAAATAACATTATGACGTCATATACACAAACTTTATGCTGCCATCTGTTGATTTAGAATGAAACTTTTTCACAATTTAAAACTCATTAATGTGACAAAAGTTCAGAATTCATCATTTTATATCTTTGCCTTTTTTTAAAAAAATTTTAGTGACTTACACTTGCCATTATGAAAAAGCTTGGTGGAAACATATAGTCATGTAATTATGTGTGTATGTTAATAATGAATATATCATGATGGACAATTTGTTTTATAATTTATGCTAAAGAGTGAAGTGTAGAGAAACAATATATAAAAATATATCTTAAGAATATTGTTTATATTTTACATATACAGAAATTAATAAAGAAAACCCAGTTGTAGGGCCAGATGTGACATAGTGGTGAGCGTGCTGGGTTGTGGATCGAAAGGTCAAAGTTTAGAGCAAAATACTTCGCTGATTTAACTCTGCACTCTCAGCTGTGAGTGCGATATAAAGGTGGCATTCAATCTTGCTATAAGTTTAAGAGTAACCACATAGGCGGAGGGTGTTTCGACTGAACTGTTCTCTATCTGATCAGGAGTTCAAAATGAGGAACGGGTGTGCCTGAACCTTGTTGTCTCTAACATGGCTATGCATTTTATATGATGTCATTTAGTTAGAAATATCAAATACTCATTTGTTACTTATGTGATCAAGGAAGTGAGTTATAAAATATTGATCAATCATGAACTCTTCTTTACATGCTAAGCCATAAGTATAAATCTATTCAAACTTAACTTCCTGGCGGAAATTTGCTAATTTAAATATTTGCTTGCCAAATCTCTTGTTTTGAACTAGTATTACACCGCTACTTCATGTTATATTTAGTTGTATCATATGTTTCATACCTGCTCTAGTGATGTAGGAATTTTTCAGATTTTTCATTTATTTGTTTTAGCCCAAGTGTTTCTTTGCTCTCTGTAATAGGAAATGTATATTTTGCCGGAGAGGGTGTTGTAGTAACACACAGCATCCAGGTTGAAAGGATTAGCACTATAATAGCTTTTACTAGCTGAATTGACGTAGCGCAGGTTTGAATCCTCGTCACACCAAACATGCTCGTTCTTTCAGCCGTGGAGACGTTATATAGTTATGGTCAATCCCACTATTCGTTGGTAATCGAGTAGCTGAAGAGTTGGTGGTGGGTGGTGTTCACTAGCTGCTTTCCCCTCGTCTATCACTGCCAAATAAGGGACGGCTAGAACATAGTCCTTGTGTAGCTTTGCGCGAAATTCCAAACAAACCAAACTCTAACCAATATAGCCAACCAATGCTATAAGATAACAAAGGTTATGCTATTGACTGGACAAAGAAACCTGGTTTATATATTGAATTCAAGCACGCTTTCTTGGTTCCATTTTTCTAGATCATCGAGTAAAAGACTTATATCAAGATCATCATGTTTAATTTTACATAAATCAATTCCGAGAGAGAGAAAGCTATAAAATTAAGCACAACCTAGTAGAAGCGACTATATTTTTGTGTACACAAGTTTTATGTTGTGTTTTCTTTTTAGTTATCAAATAAGGGAAAATTGTTTTAATTTTTTCCAACTTGTCCACTCTCATTATTTTACATACACATTGGTCTGAGGCAGCAAGGTTCTTCTACGGAATATATGCCACAATGCCTCTGACTATGTATCATATAGGACAAGAAGAGCAAAGTATCTGTTTTACTTTGGAACTCAGCAAAGACGTCAGAGCTATTAATTTCAGCTAATGGCTCAGGAAATGCCTCCCCCATACCAACCCATAACATCAGCACTTTGCAGAGCAGCAAAATAAGCAAGGGTATCAATCCTGTCCACCAAATCAAAATGTTTGGGATGACCAGCAACAAGTGGTGGATGCTGTGTGAAATACTCTGGAAAAGTGACAGAGCCCAAGTCCTAGATTGGGAACTCGCAGTTAAGTTGCACCAAAGAGTTTAATGGTAAGTCTAGTTCTGCATGTGCTGATAAGGGTACAAGATTGACAGGTTGAGTTTCTGGTAGATACAGGAGTGGCAAGGATCCTAGTGGATCTCAAAATTTTTCAAGCCCTCCAAGTATGACCAACACTAGAACCGATGAATACCAACTTTGCTCTGGTGAATGGAAATAGACTTGATATTGGGAGAAGTGGATCTTCAGATCAGTCTAGGAGGTGTCACTCATAGAATGAAAGTAGTCTTCTCTGATCCAGGACCTGGAACCAGTATCTTCAGGATGGACATACTGTGTAGTTTGTCAATCAGTTTTGCCTATGCAATGAGAAACTGATGTTCCACAGGAAATCCATCCAGTGCTGCCTGACCAAGCCCAGAAACAGTGGACTCCATGAGTTTATGTAACAAAATAATTATAGTACCTTCAAGTACACAGATGGTGTTCCGTGATATAACTTGGACAAAGTCTAGTGCATCTGTACCACATAATGTGGTCACAGAAGCCATGCATGAAATAAACTGTGACGATGGACAATTGGCTATCCAAATGGACAGTGAAGTGGCTGTAGGCATAGTGAGTAAAGTGGAAGTAACTGATACTGGCGGTAATGCTAGAATTGTGTCTGTTGCACTTTTGTCAAAGGCATATACGAGGCTATGAACACACCTGAATTCATTAGTTGACAATTGAGTTAACAATCTAGACCAAATGAAGTTAAAGTAACTCACTAGGAAAACACTGTATTTGTGGGACCAGATGGCCAATGGAGTTGAACAATAGTGATACAACATCACATAGACACAGGTGATGGATGCCAGATAAAGCAGTCATCATATCGACTTCCATGGAGCATTAGGGAGGTTGTAAGCACTGAAATACAGCAGATGCTGCAGGACTGATTCATACAACCTTCAGATAGTACTTGGTTGTGTCCAATAGTATTTGTCAGGAAGAAGGAAAGTATGCATGTATTTTTGATGGGCAAACTAGGTAAGTCAAATTGATGCATCTCTCTTACTGTTTATAGATGAATGTCTGGATGCATTAGAAGGCTCCCATTGGTTCAACACACTGAATGTGATGTCTGGATACTAGTATGTTGAGCTGAACAATGAAAACAATGCTAAGATTGTTTTTTTTTTTAGCATGAGAGATGGATATGATGGATTCCACATCAGGCCATTCAGTTTGTAAAATGCACTAGCTACTCCCAATCGGCTGATGGAGCTTAAACTCAAGGGACTGCAGTGGGAGAGATGCCTGGTCTATGTCAATGATTATTAGGTGTTTGACTGAGAGCCCGAAGATGGTATTCCAGTACATATGAAAGGCAAGTTTCAAATTGAAACCTGAGAAGTATTCGCTCATGCAAAGTGAGGTGGAGTTTCTTGGTCCCATTGTGGGTACAGGTGGAGTCTCAAGAGACCTGACTAAGGTAGCTGCAGTAAGAGATTGACCTTGACTCATAACAAAGGAAGAAGTTTGTAGTTTCCTTGGTTCCATGTCATACTACAGACAATCTGTGGTCAACTTCTATAACGTAGTAGCACCATTGTTGACTCTCATTAAAGTGTAAGTATACTTTGGATGATGCAAAGAATGTATTCAGGCATTCTGATCCCTAAAGCTTCCTTTGGTGGATGCTCCAGTGTAGTTTTGATTATAATATGTAGTTCAAGAATTTTGTCCTGAAGTAAGTGTAATTCATTGTTAAAGGGTTTGTGATGTCTTTCAGAATAATGGAAAAGTTGATGTGTTTTTGAATATTTTATTGGATCAAAGGCTTTTGGCTTGAAAATTAAATTTAGCTGTTGGTATGAGGACAAGCCTGACATAAAGAAGAGAGGAAAAGTGCATTATGCAGGCCTGTCATATATTTTATATCTGCACTTTTTTTATATTGTTTGTATGTGGTTTTGGCATAAACACATGGGTCCAGAAAGTGGTTGCTTTGTTTCTTTTTATCTTTATAGTTAGTAATGTTTATTCTGCTCAAAAGGATATTGCAGTAACATGTAACATCTGGGTTGAAAGGATTAGCATTGTAATAACCTTTACTGGTTCAGTTGATTTTGTCTAAACAACACAGCTTACCAAAGCTGTGAGAGAACAAAGATCACAAGGTGATGCTGTGGACTGGACATAGAAACCAAGCTTATCTGTGGCATTCAGTTGGACTTTCTTGGTTCAGTTCTACTAGGACATTGTCAAGTAAAGACTTACATCAAGTATATTGTGTTTATTTCTACAGAAATCAATTCTAATAGAAAGAAAGTCATTGGACTAAGCACAGCCTAATAGAAGCACTTGTATTTTATATGCACAAGTATGTACCTTGTGTTTTCTTTTTTGTTTGTCAAATGGTAAAGACCGTTTTAATTTTTACCAACATTGTCCAGTCTCATTATTTTACACACACTAGGTAGACTCGGTTAAGTTATACAATCAGAATCAGTGTTTTTCCTGAACAAATCTGCACTTAAAAGCAGATCTATTTATCTGACGCTTCTCAAGTGATCTGCAGTTTTTACCTGAAAATATCAAACTCGTATTTCTGGAAGATGGAAAGTATACCCAGAAATTCTACAAAGAAATGCATATACCTTTTCACATCACTTTAAAAAAGTCGGTCATTACATTTCCCAACTTGAAAACAATGAATAGATGTGAATATTAATTTCAGAATGAAAATATGTATGATTAACAATACAGCATCATCTAATGTTTAGGGTAATTGTAATTTTGTTTTGAGATGGAGGTATTCTTTGAATAAGTATTAATGGAGTATTTTTTCTTTTAGTGTGAATCTATGTTTTATTTTTTAAGAGCTGATGGAAGCTTTTCAAACTCTTGTACATTTCTAATTTTATCTCTTGGAAAGGAATAAGAATGAAATGTTTGAACAGCCAGTGAGTTCCCAATCACTAAGTTTGTTTGTTGAATTTCATGCAAAGGTAACCCAACATTATCTGCAGTAGCCATCCCTAATTTTGAAGTCATAGACTAGAGGGAAAGTAGCTAGTCAACAACACCCACCACCAACCCTTGTACTATTCTAATCATATAGCAAAATTTGACCATTACTCTTATAATTCATACATGGCCATAAAGTATGAAGTGCCTTTTTTTACTTCCAGAAACTGGGTGCAAACTACAATTCCTCAGATCCACAGTCAAAGTATGCTAACCATGGGGCTATACTAGGGGTCCAAATTTGAAGAAAGGGTTATTTCTTCATTGTCATAAAATGAGCCATATAATGTTACCATCATTAGAAGTGTTGTTCATTACTGCTACATCAAAGATACCTGGAAATGGCTTATTAGAGTTTAGGCCTCATTAACCATGAACTGGTACTTCAATATATAATTAAAATGGTCCTTACTTACTTACTATGCAAACTTGTGACTTTTTTTTTAGTAGCATTTACATAATAAACTTCCACAAATAATAATAATAATAAGAAGAAAAACAAGAGAGAGGTGCACAATTCACATGATTGAGTACTCTGAACAGTTTTTAACTATTGGACATCTTGCCTTGAGTGTTATGTTATGAAAATGTTTCACGTCACTTGGGTGTGCCTTCTTCAGAGACACTGTATTTTACCCAAAAATAGCTTTTAAATGTGATAACAAAAGTTGTCAAGATCACTGATGTTCTTATTCTTTAGTTAAACATGAAGTGGCCAAAACAAACAAAAACTAGACTGTCTTGTACAACTTTCCACTGTAAATACTGTTTATTTTATCCTCAATTTATTACAACTTGTGAACTACACTGCACTGACAGAATATTTAATGGCAACAGCTACATGTTCGGTTAGTTTCAGTTTCAACCACTTTCTTGTAAGCAAATTCTCTGTCTACTCATCCCTAGTCTTTCGGTATAATTTGAGTTTCTGTATGGTTATGTTAGCCATTATAATTCTGATTAATTTAACAAAATAAACATGATGGTGATGCTGCCCTTCCTAGCTATTTTGACCAGATGTTTCCACATTAACACAATTTTTTTATACTTGTTTAAGTCTTCAATTTAACATAATTTTGATCACAAATTACTTAATTAGAAATGTTTCAAAAATGTATCCTCACAAGGTTTGTATGACACATGTTCAAGATAAAACATACCTAAAAACAATGATATACTATGTATGATATCACTAACTGATAGTTTTGTTTTGATTAATATAATATAGCGAAGAAATGGCTGAAAGGCATAATAATGTGTGTGCGTGTGTGTTTGTCTTGATAATCTGTAAGTTTGTATGAAAATAAAATAAGCAATATATGAAGTAAAAAAACAGATGTTTTAACCCAAATTTTAATTACTAGCTGAATTAACTACCAGCAATTGAAGGTTACATAATTTTTTGATTGTAAATATACACATTATACTGTTAAAAGAAAAAAATTCACAGGTACATATTCTTACAGAACACTTGTATCTTTATATAATAACCAGGTACACATAGGAATGCAAACAGTATTTGGATGTTGCAGCCAATACTTAGAACAGAGTGGAAGCTTTAGTCACAGAAATTATATACATCAGCTTCTTTTGGCATATTAAATTTTCTTGTGAAAACTTCTGAACTACACAAATTTAAATTTGCTAGTAACATTCTAAGAGAAAGAGGCAATCCATAAAATGTTACTTTTTTTGTTATAAGGTTATAAAAACAGTAGGCTTCATAATACATTTTAAAAATGCTCAACAGATGTGGCAACTGTTATTCACCAGATTTTTACAACTAATTCTCATTGAAATGCTACTTTTTAATTATTACATTAATCATCTTTACTGTTGCATCAAAATGAAACAAAGGATTCTATGAGGGAAAAAAGCTACAAGGTTTAATCTTTATAAACTTGTGTGTTTAAAATGTTTTTAAATTAATTTGTATATAAATGTTTCCAAATATTATTCAGAATACACACTCAATAAACTGCACATTCTGACTCAAAACGTAAAGGCACTAAAATTTTTTTTTTCATTATTATTCTTATCTAAACAAGGTAGTAATTTCCTTGAAACTATTATACAGAAAATTACGTTGTACATATATGTTCGGTAATCAACAATTACTTGTTAAAATCATGAGTATTATAGTTTTGGTTCAACAAAGAAACTGGTGATAAATATAACAACATAATTTTTATATTCTGATGGTCTATCCAATTATCAGTTATTGATTTCAAAGAAGCTGAAATAATGGCTTTGAGAAATAAATTATTTAGCCTGTAAAGTATAATCATACAACACTTGGTTGATTATACTGCATAAAACTTTTTTTTAATGATCTAAAAGTGAATTTAGTTTTAAGCAAATATACAAGGCATTCTAACTAACTATTTGAGATGCTTTTCCAACATATTAAAACAGCTCATTAAAAAACTTATACACACACATACAAAATACAAATTCCCTTCATGCCTGGTTGATTACTTAACCCAACCAAACACTGTGCTACACTGACACTAAAAGGTTTGTGTGAATTCAAGAAATACCCAAAATTCAAGTTTCATATCAACTAAAGTTCAAATAATGATCATATTTATTCAAAATCTTCCCTACCACACAACAAATGTTTTAATTATCAGATTGTCAACCTGTGAATGATAATGTTTCCTAGTTCCTAAATAGATCAAGTAAATGCCCAGTTCATAAAAGAACTTTACACATTAATATCACTTATAGAATAGTACAAGTTTCATGTGTTGCAAGTTTTAAACCTGTATATTCCTTTCTCTGACTGTTAAAATAAACAGTAACCTTTTTTTTTAAGGAGAGATAAAATACACAAATATTTTAGCCTTTTGTACCATTTTCCAATGGCACCAGCATTATAATTCCAACAATACCACTGTACCATTAAATGTTGAAACCACATGATGCAGATGTATTTGATAAATGCACATCATAAAAAAATGAAGAGAATAATATGAATTTTAACAAATTGATCTACTACTCATGTCCATATACAATTAAAAGACAAATTCAAAATAGTAAATGAAGATTAAAACTTGGCAGTATAATGATGGTCATTATTGTCCAGCTTGGTTCATGATACTTATTGGAAACAAGATTTTAGTTACTCTACCTTAGGTGAAAAAAATAATAATGTATGTCCTATCTAATTAGTCAATTTACATTATACTTAAACACTGTATAAACTTTAAAGAAAAGTTAATACAATCAAAAACTTCCCTGTTTTAGAATTATCAACTGTCACACACAAAATATTTAACATCTTTCAGTTTTCCTTGTCATTTCCTTTAGGTTTTTATCAATTTTTTTAATTAAAAGAAATTTTACCATTCTTCAAAACAAACTTCAGATTAAACTTGGTGAATATTTTATATAGTTTGATTTTTTTTTTAAATATAATATTTAATTATTATTTTTTCCCAAGAGAGAATTTATTGAAAATTCCAAAAGTGCATTCATTCAGCTTATTTGCCTTTTTAAAATTTCCCTTTCTGATAGAAAAAGAAATATTTTGACTTCTTGTTTATTGAAATAACCCTATACTTGTTAAGTATGATAATACTTCTTGATCTGATCTCAAAATTTTTGTACTAGCAGCAGAAATGGTAAATATTAATAGATAAGATTAGTGAAACTCAACAATATTTTGAACTTTAAACTGAAAATAAACCCTTACTACACTAGGACCTATCAAGGGAATAGCCACTACAGTAAGTACAGTTAAATACGATGCCAATGTTAGTTTTTGTACAGAAAGTAACCTCTGAAAATTACTAATGAATAGTTTCAAACTACACAACATTCAGAAAATTAAAAGTTCTTGCTAACACTATAGTATGTATTGCTTTTAACCTGCTGTCAATTGAGAGTATTCAAATATTTTATTAATTAACTAGCAATGTGGTTTCACTTTCCAAAGAAGGGAATATTGCAAAGGAGAGGATTGTATTTACTGTAAAACAATTCCCTGTTTAATCAGTTTATAACTTTTGGCATATTTTACTGGATAATAACCACACAACTTTTAATTGTTTTACTGAAATCTTAGCAAAGAAGAAATAAATCTCTCTCAAGATCGTGAAGTTTCAAGAGAAGTTTTTTGTGGTGTGCTTATGGTTTAAAAAAGTTCATAGTTAAACAATGTTGGTATAATGTATATGTGTTGTCTATTAATTTTTCAAAACAGTTTTGTTTACTTTTCAAGCCAAGATGCAACACTAGAAGAGTCATTCAAGTTACAGAAAAAAAAGAGATTAAAAATATGATAACGTGCAAGTCTAAAACTGACACAAAAACACTTGTTACAGTATAAGATGTTAAATAGATGCAAACTGAAAATATCATGTTCACAGGTAAAATACAGGAAAAGAAAGTTGCATAAATAAAGTCTTTAAAGATTAAGAAATTACTTAGGTTATAGTGTGAGAGACTAACAAGATGCAAGTCTACAGATGACGAGAAATATTAACGTTGTAATGTGAATCTAAGAGGATTAAAATTTAGAAATATCACATAACATTACTAGAGGTTACTAAACGAGAGAGTACCACAATACAAGCATGGAAATATTGGGAAATATTTTGTTTGTAAAAGGTACATAAACATCTGATCTTGCCATGAAATGTTCTTGTTTATTGCATGTTATCTGTTTATTTCACCAAAAGGACTATTAAGAAACTAGAACTTTTATATTCTCTATATGCTTAAAAGCAAACCAGATAAATATCTTGGACAGACCTAAGTAAATGTAATTTTTTTTTTGAGTTTGTCATATATTTCTGGGAATAAATTTTAGAAAATTATTAACTTTGAAACTAGTTGTTTAGATTAGTTCTAATGGAAAATTAAAAGCCATTCTTTAATACTCTTTTTTTTTTCTTTTAGGTTTAAAAAGCAAATGGATTAAGATGAAGTTGATTCCGCTACTATTGTTAAAAATTGTTGGATTTTAATGCTTTTAATTTCAAGAAAATCTTTATATCACAAGCACAATTGGGTCTAATGAACATTATTTGTTATAAGACCAAAACAGTGTATATCTTTCTTAAATTTAGTTAACATATTTACAACAAAGCCTAGAAACCTATTTAAGCTCATCTCACACTATAACAATAATCAAAAGTCAAAGTTAGGCCTTTAACAACATCTGGTAACATTGTACCCAATATTAAAACTCTTTACCAAACAAAACTCGCAACAATTGAGATCTTGCGTAAGAACATAAAAGTGAATAACATGTAACTTCATATTGTCTAAGCTGTTCAATGTTTTCATCTTAGACAACAAAGGTTATGTATGAATACACCAGGCAAAAGTATCAAATTCTGAACTTCTATGCTCCTCTTTTTCTTTATCCCAAAACTCAATTATATGTGTTAATAACAACGTTATTCATAATAGGAAAATATACTTTCCTTCATATATTATCCTTCTGAAAGTGATGAAAAATATATTGCTTGTATGGCTGCTTTGAAACTATTTTGAAAAAAAAATGGCTTGACTGCTAGGTTCAATGCTAAATTTACTTAAGATATACTGTAAAGTAATCCTAAAAATGTCACAATTTGTGTATGTGTGAGTATTTGTTTTAAATTTTCAATCAGGAGCTAAAAATTTACAAAATTTTATTGAAGGCATCAAAAACATTTTTACTTGAATTATTTTTTGAAGATTACCTGACGTTTAAATACCTGGTTTTATAAATTGGTTATTTGTTATCATTACTACTTTCTTTTCACATAAATCTATACAATAGGCTATCTGCGCTTTGTTCACAATGGGGAATCAAACCACAGGTTTTAGCACTGTAAGTCTGTAAACTTACCACTGACTCACCGGGAGACTTCAGTAACCCATTGACTGCTGGTTTGCCGTATAGGGTACGGTTTGCTACCAGCAATTGAATGCAAGTGTGCTGTATACAGTGTATGGCTCGCAAAAATTCCACGAGCTTTTAAAGGGTTAATTGGAATGATTTTTCATGTTCATGTAAGAACTTGCATTTTGAATGATTTTTAAAATCAAGATCCCCCCCCCCCAAATAAAACTTTGAAAATGCTCACACATTCTTTTCCTGTGTTTCTTTAAACTTTAAAATAGTTCTTGAAGTTACAACTAGGTTAACATTAACCAGTCCAAAAGATCATAAATAATTTCTCTTATTTTAGAACTTGCTTAGTCCATAACGCTTGTTAAGTAACCAAATTAAAATTTATTAAAGGTAACATTATAAGTAGGTAAAAGTTTTGTAAAAAAAAAAAGAAGAGAGAGAGAGAGAAAAAATAAAATGTTATATTTTCACAAAGCTCTCATTTCATCTGTTCACAGAGATACCCTTCTCATGAAACAGCATTATTAAACACACAAGACTTGGAAGTAATCTTAACATTATATCCCAACTAGCATTAAAGTTTATCCAATAAAATACTTTAAAACACTATCAAAATATCGTTCTTTATTTCTTTACATTATGAGGCCTCCACCAATGTGCTTAACAAACACTATCAGGAGTCCTTTACTATACAACAAATGCTACTTTATCTGTACAGCCATACATTTAGACATTTTATAAGGTATCAAAAACGTAACCAATATATGCGTCATAAATATTTAACAAACCATATTTAACGGTAAATGCTGAAAGAAGTGAGCAATATTGCTGCAAACAACAAGAACACTGTCAGTATAATCACAGCTGGGGCAAATGGGTCTGAGAAAAATGAAGATGAAAAACAAATGGCAGGTGAAGACAAGGAGTATGAAACAAGCCTCACCGAGAGCTGCAACTTTTAAGAGGCAGGTAGTGGGTCAGGTATCCCTTGGAGCCTCCAGCATTGACAAGAGAAAGTTGTCAATGGGTGTATCATTAATTAGCCTGAAGAAAAACAAGTGTTCTAGGCAGGTAAGACCAATGCTTCTAAGTGCTGGGAGTCGAAGCAGTAGCTTTGCAAAGCGACCCTGCTGATCAGGGTATGTTTGCTTACAGTATTCCTCAAGTGCTGCATACACTTTTTCTCTCAGAGACTCTACTTGCTGTACTGATTTCAACTTTTTGGCCTCTGGAAAAAATAGAAATAAATCCAGTCATTTAGAGTACGAAAAAGTATTTAACAAAAAATAAAATGTTTGCTTTGTTTCCACCTTTTTCTATTGAGGAATTTTCCAAATGAAAACATTTTTTATGCTCTTATTTTGCAAGTTTTGTTAAGTTTGTAACCTATAAGAAGTTATTAGATCTTACTTTTTTGTTTTCCACTTCTTAACAACCCTTTATTGGCTTTTATTACCACTTATACTCTGTTAAGTAGTTCTGATTATGACTTATGATGTTCTTAATTAGCATGAGTATTAAAAATGTAAACATTTAGGAAGTTTAAGAAACTGCTCTTTTGATGGAACTCCTGCAAGATACTGAAAGGTTATAATGACAATATTTCTGGTAATACCACTCAGCAGAAGGTTCTATTCTTGTTGCAAGATATTACAAACTAAACACTACCATTTACATAATCCTCTAGAAAACATATTGTTAAATAGTAACAACATTTTTCTGTTCATCAAGTTTATCTTGTTCTCCTTCTTCTTCTTTTGGGTAAGTATCATCTTCAATTTGTAATCATTGAAGAAATTTAACCTTCTCCCTAGGAATGGTTCTCTCTAGGTGAATAAAGTTACCTCACATTAAACTTCCAATGTAACTTATTTTTGAAGTAAAAAAAAATTAGAATCTGAATGAACACTATTCAAATAAACATACACACAAAGTAATAGGAGGGGATATGTACTTTTGAAAGGTGTGATAACAATGTGGTATCCCCAATTTTACATTTCTGATGAGCAGGATTTAACTCCAGGCCTCTTGCATGCCAGACCACTGCTCTACTAGCAATAACTAATAAGGTACATTTTTAACACCTGAAAGTACTACATCACCAAAGCTGTAATTATTTTTCTTTCTGACTTAGAAATTGATTTAAAATGTCTAGCTTGATTAGAAAAAGAAATGATATTGAGACTATTGTATACATAATTGTTAGCCTAATCAGTTGTGTACTGGTCTGGCATTGTAGCAAGCCAAGTTTAACCCCTTGTAGCCTAACTTATAACTCTCGAGTACTTTAAACACACACTATCAGGTTTGTATAGGGGCTGGGATTCTTTTACAGTAGGTGTCTGTGACTTGTTAGAAATAAATTAGAACAAGAAATGGACAGCAAACTATTCATTTGTTTTAAAATAATCTATATTCAAAACAAGTCAAACATATGTACAAAAACTCATTACACTATTGGTTATCACAGTTGTATCCTGAACCTCAACTAATTGTCTCTTTTTTCATCAAAGTCCACACAGGCGGGTTCAATTACTTTAGAACACCCTTTGACAAGAGAAATTCTTCTTTGTCTCTGTTGTTATAACACCACTGTGAAACTCACTTTAGATGTCATCCATTATGGCTAAATTAACAATTGCACAGTCTAACTTCAATTTTTCTAACTTACTTCTTGCTTGCTGTATCTACATGTATTTATAACACACGACAGAAAAATCTAGAACTATCTAGCCCTCTAGTAGTAACAATATTACACATAACAGAAAAACTTGGAAGCTTTGAGTAAGATGACATCAACAATATTACTAAAGCCTAGTACAACAATTAAATTGCATACACAATGTATGACTCGTACAGAGTTACATAACAAAACTTGTCACAACTATCACTTGTAAAATAATCAACTTTTAACATTTTTGTTATTAAATTAAATACTAAATGAACTAAATAATAACTCTTATACTAAACAGTCTTGTATATTCAACACACACACACACATAATTTCACTACTCTACAAAACACCACAAATAATATGCAGTTTTGAAGTCAATGCAATTTAAGTACGAAAACTGTTTCTTTACCTTAAGGGAAATTGTATATACTAGTAGAGACCCACAAAACATTTGTGGTTAAATTTGTATCTTTATTGCAACAGTACTTCTTTAAATACAAGATTTCTAGAATAATACAAATTAATTGTAATCATAGATACCGAAATGTGTAAGTCCACACACACACACACACATATATATATATATATATATATATATAGGCTTTACTTTATAAACCCTTAAATAATGTTAGGCCTAAGTTCGATAAAGAGATAAATTGACACTGTAACCTATGTACATTTTTTTAACTTTAGTTTAGTTAGGGCTAAACTTTACTGTACTTATAACTATCAATGAATAAACTTATTCTACGACATAATGTCAGACCTTCTTGAAAACTAAGCTTTTAATGTTGTACAAAATTGTTAGTAAAGTATATTTACTTTTGTTATTCCTTCATTCATAGAGAAGTTGTAGTGACTTTTCACTGAGTTTGCAGCTCTCTGCCACAGGCAGGCTGGCTGTTGTCAAATGCATAATGTGCCTGCACGGTTTTTCTTGGGTAAAATTATTACTGTGTATGCTTATAATGCATACTGACAAGCAGAATTATGGTATGATTCTAATTTGGTATTCATTATATATTTTGTATATGTGTGTATTTATATTTACTGATTTTATAATACACATGATAATAAACTAAGTATTTACCAATTTTTAGTAAGTTTTAAATATTCATATGTTTTCTAACCTCCAATGACAATAACTGACGCTATCAACCACCCTTGTTTTTTATTTCTAAGGGTTTAGCAGTTATCTTCCAAACATCTGACTGAATAAATCATACCTGAGATAAAGTTAATTTTAATCAACATATTTTGAAAAACAATTTCCTGAAACACAAAATTACATATAAAATCATATGCTAGTTTAAGTTAGTAACTTTATGACAGTATGGTTCTAAAATCAACTTGCACAACAGAAAACAAAACTACTCCCATAAATGGCACACAAAATATAAAACTGACTAGTAAGCCTAATACTTAGTATAAGTGTTAACAAAATAAAGAATATGGTGGTCTTTAGACTTTTCTTGTATAAACACATAACCCTTTAATAAATGTCTGATCTCTCTTTCATAAATTGGTTCAGTAGTAAGTCTAAGGACTTTTAACACTAAAAATTGGGTTCCATACCTGCAGTGGACATAACACAAATATCTTATTGGGCTCAAGAACAAACAAACAAATCTTCCATAAATTAGAGTAAATACATTTTGTACAGTGGGCATACCTGGATTAAACAAAACAATTGCTCGTAAGCAACCTAACTCGGTCTTGTCCATTTTCATCTCTCGCATCTTGGCTACCAATTCAGTAAGTACTCTGTCAAAGATCGCTCCCATTCCTGCACTATGAGCACTATTTCTTTGTACTACAAGCCCTGTTGCCAAGACAATCCCATCCTTTACAGAAATAGATCGATGGGAGAATGCTGCAATCAGTAGTTCATTCCAACCTGTACAAACAGATTTATTAACACAAAGAACTCCAGTATGTCTATTAAAAAACACAGCAAGTAAGAAAGATTGACTATATTTTACACATACCAGTTTTAGATGCAATATTGTCAATAAAACTTAATATAAGGAACTTATAAAAGAAGTTAATTAAAAGTTTTTCAATTCACATCACCTACTTAAAATTATCAATAAAGTCCATATGGACCCCATCAGCTTTCAAACACATTTTTCTACATGGTTTTATTTGTTAGAGGGTCCCTAATAACATACACGTTACATAAGGAAAAATAACTTTTACTTAAAGGTACTTTAAAAAATGAGTTTTAATAATTGTTATTTGCATATTTAAACATTTTTTTGTTAATTTATACATAACAGCACTCTCCATACCAAACGTAAATAACTGCCATTTTGTTTCTGTTAATTCCATTGACCTGAAATTAGTATTATGTTTTTTTTTAGGTATTCATGATGTAATACATAAATACTGACATTTTATTACTAATCTTGTTAGTTTTCTTTACTCAATATTGGTAATTTGCAGTTAACCAATACAAAAAAAAAGAGAAAGAAATGGTTGAAAAGAGAGTTGTATGCAGATTATGTGCTTATACTTTTAAAACCAATACATACTTTGACGCCTGTAATGCTATCCCATAAAATAGCTTAACACAACAATAATCATCTCGCCAAAACCTATGCTTGCCACACTTTAGCCAGTTTGAATTTGAATGAGGTCTATCATATAAGATGTTTATCACTGTACCACAATATACTCCAAGTGTTAGGTCTGTAACCTGGTTCATGCATCTTAATCTGTGCTATGTTTATTTTCAGCTACAAACTTTTGTTACTTACCTTTTGGCCATTTCTATCCATTTTTCACCTACACTACTAAAATCACTTTTATTTACCCACTAAACTGAATTTAAAAATATACTTTATGTTTTAAGTTACTGATAACGTCAGAATGAATATATATATATATATATATATATATAT